CGCAGTGGGAGGTGGGGGATGTGAAGGGTGCAGTAGAGATGGGGGATGTGAAGGGTGCAGGGGGAGGTGGGGGATGTGAAGGGCACAGTGGAGGTGGGGGATATGGTGGGTGCAGTGGGAGGTGGGGGATGTGAAGGGCACAGTGGAGGTGGGGGATATGGTGGGTGCAGTGGAAGGTGGGGGATATGAAGGGCGCAGTGGAGATGGGGGATGTGAAGGATGCTGGGATTGCAGGTGTGAGCCCCCAGGCCTGGCCGGGTGTCTGGATTTCATTCTAGGCACAAATGAAAAGTTACTGTAGAGTATTGAACAGGGAAGGGACATGACTCATATTTAAAGTAACACTCTGACATCCACGTGGAGCCTAAAGTGGGGGCACAGAAGAATGGAAGCTGGGTGACCAGTTCTGAAGCTACAGGCAAGAAATGCTGGTCTATCAGCGTCATGCAGCACAGTGGTACCAGCCCAGGAGCGCCAGTTGGGATATTAAAACAAGTATATATTGCTTCTACCCTCAAGTCATAACCAGTTGTGTGTGTGAATGCTGGGAGCCAGCCAGCAGATGATCAGGAAAAGCCCCCTCCATCTAGTAGTCAAAGGTCATGGATGCTGGCAGAGCCCCACTCAGTGAAGACATATTCTATCAAAAATACATACAGCACCTCTGTTGAGAAATACTAACCCTACACATAATTAAACATATGTTCTTCCTTTTCCCCTTAACATCATACCATAAGCATTTCCCTAAACGATAAACACTCCTTTCTTCAATAAACACTCTTGTGTATAAGTCTTTGCCTACATTTCTTTTCTACCCATCTAACAATGAAAACACACACGACTCTCTCCTCCGTTATTCAGTCACGTCACAAGACTGTGAAGTAGATGAATGGCCAGGTTAGGATAAGAGCAAAGTGAGGTTCAGAGATGGTCAACAGTTCTACGTCGCAGTCATTCTAACGGGATCACGCAGCCTCAGAGTGCAGAGCCACCACGTGTTTTCTCTCCACTCTTCCCAAGCACCTTCCCAAGCAAGGGACGATCCAAGTGTGTGGTGGTGACCTAGAGTGGGCCAGCCCCCAAGCATGTCTTTGGAGTTCAGTCGAGTCATCTCAGACCCATGACTGTTTAAAACCTTACAAGAGTGGCTCACGCCTGTAATCCCAGCACTTTGGGAGGCCAAGGCGGGCAGATCACCTGAGATCAGGAGTTCAAGACCAGCCTGACCAACATGGAGAAACCCCATCTCTACTAAAAAGACAACATTAGCTAGGCTTGGTGGTGTACGCCTGTAATGCCAGCTACTCGAGAGGCTGAGGCAGGAGAATCGCTTGAACCAGGGAGGAGGAGGTTGCAGTGAGCCGAGATCATGCCACTGTACTCCAGCCTAGGCGACAGAGCGAGACTCCATCTCAATAAATAAAAAAATAAATAAATAAAACCTTAAAATGAAGAACCACGAAGACTCAAAGAACCCAGATTCTGGATTCTCAAAAGTTTAAGATTCCCAGACTTTCAGAGCCTGGGACTCAAAGCTACGGGATCACACTTTCAGAACTAGAAGGGCCCCAGTGTGGTGGTCCTCACCTTACTGGTCATGGAAATGAGGCACAGAGGGCCAAGTCCAGTGGCTTCCTCTTTGCCTGGCTAAGCCATCCTTCCTTCTTCCCCTTCACCTCCCTCTCCCTCCCACCCCTCCTCCTCCCACCTCTCCCACGCCCCCTCACGGTCTTCGGTGAGCATTCCCCAGCCGGTTATCCAACAGGACACGTTACTGGGCAGCTGCATGTCCTGGGATGGGAGGCAGGCGGGGACAACGTAGGAAGTGAAGTTCACAGGCAGGCGCAGCTGCAACATGGCAATGTCACTCCCAAAGGGGTGGAGCTTCTCAAAGTCTGGATGGGTGATGATCTGGTGCACAGACATCTTCTGGGTGTGCTGGGTTTGATGATACAGTTGGGTGTTTCCCAACAGAACCTGATAGTTCTCCGGGGCCTGGGATTTGCTGGAGGAGGAAGGGCCTATTTTTAGCATCCTCTGGGAGTGCGGGGCAGCACTCTCTTCTTACATCCACGTGTAACTGCCCACACACCTCTGGCTCCTTCTCCCCGGACATGATTCCAGGTAGCTTTGTATCCCCCTTTCTGAGTCAGGAGCTTTTCTTTCTTTGAGGCTAATGGATATTCTACTCACAACCTCAGGACATGTGGCCTCCCCAGTACACCCTTAAATCAGAGGAGCAGAGAATCCTAGTGCCAGAAAAGTCCTTGGCAGAGTCATCACGTCGAGCCCTTTTATTTTACACAAGAGGAGCTCTGGCTTAATTCTGGCTCCAGCCTGACCCTTCCGAAGGCTACCTATGACCCGCTTCCTGGCCTAACCACCTTTCCTGCCCTCCCCAAGGGTGTCTTCCCCACTGTTGTAAGCACTCACAAAGGATTTGTTCAACGTCCAGATGAGTGCATGAAACTGCTGCTCTCCTTGTTCCTGAACACAAGTGATGAAACTTCTGACCTTTGTGACTTTGTTCACATGGGTCAGCCACCAGGAAAGCCCTCACCACACTCCCCATGCCAAAGCCTCCCCTTCTGGCAAGTGCCTGCAGCTCCTCGTCCTCCCTCAAGACTGCAGCGTCTCTCCGGATGCCCCGGCCTCACGTCAGCTCTTCTCACTCATTGTGGGCTTTCTCTCCTGCATCCTGCTTGTTGGAGCTTGTGCCTCGCCTTCCCATAGAGACACCTTCACTTGGGGTCTTGCCACACCCTGTGCCATAGAGGGTCTTGGGTGGTGTGACACACAGGAGATGCTCACAGCGCCCAGTTGGAGTCTCAAAGCCACTAAGTGCCCAAGCTGACTCCATACCTGGACTGTGATGCCTTCCTCTCCCTCTGGGCCCCTCCATGACTGTTGAGAAGCTGGGCACAGAGTCAGGTTCAGGAGGGTCAGAGGAGTTGCACCCCTGACTGTCCACGTCATTCTCCAGGGTCAGGGGGCCCCATTCTTTCCACCCATGCATATAGTCTGGCACAGCTCCTTCCAGGCATACAGTTTTACAGAAAAAAAGCATTGCCTGGCTGCTGGCTACACGCAGAGTCCCCAGTCCCTGCCTGGAGTCTGACTCACAAGAGCATGGTGGACACTGAAGAGAAACCTGCAGGCGGCCAGCACAGACACTGCCAATGCTCTCAGGCATGTCTCGGTTGAACAGACAGACATAGGGGCCAGGGAACTCCCTGCCAGAGTTGAGGATGAAGGATGAGGAGGATCTGGGCAGATGGAGGGACAGTGGGTGGAGAGTGGGGAGGACAGTCCTGGTGGAGAGGACTGCAGGTCAAAGGCAGGCACTGCGTCAGTTTGGTGGCAGCAGACTTGCCCAGAGCAAAGCCCAGAGGAGAAAGGCATAACCCCCCCAGCCCGCTAACCCTCGTCCCTTGCATCTTCCTCCCCATCAGCCCCTCTGCTGGGGCCCAGGGAAGGAGGACTCACTTGAGAAAGCAGTGGGCTGTCGACACCAGCCAGCGAGAGTCAATGAGGACAGCTCCACAGAGGTGCGAGCTCCGATACAGCAGGCTGGCCTGCCATGGCCACTGACCAGCTGCTGCGTCCTGGCCACCGTAGATCTTCCCCACCACCTTAGGCTTCCCACACACTGTGGAGACACCCCGGTCCACCTGTTAGAGACACTAGTGGTGCCCATGAATGCCACCCCAGTGAGGCCTCTGCTCTCTTCACAGATGGGAAAACCAAGGCCAAAGAATAGGTGACCTGGCCAAAATGACTGAGGGCTTCCCCAGCGTCTGCCTTCTATGGCCACTACCAGGACCAGATGACAGAGTACAACTGAGCAGGCTCTGTGGGAATGAGGGCCCAGGGGTCTGGCAGGCAGGGCAAGGCTGACCCAGGGTGGCCACAGCAGCTCATCTGGACCTGCCAAGGACTGGTGGACTGGAATCCAGCCCTGGGACTTTATTTCCCTCCATCAGAACACCTGTATGCCTACTTTACAGATCAAAGAACTGAAGGTCTCAGGGGTGTCCAAGTGACTGTGCCCCCTGCATCTCACCCCAGTATCCCAGGGAGAGAGATTCTCAGGCAGGAGTCTGTTGTGCTGTGTGACTTGGGGAAACTTGCTCCCCCTCTCTGATTCCTGATCTTCTATTTTTAGAAGGTGAGGGGATGTGGCTGATGTGGACAACCTTGGTTCTGAGACTCACACCTGGGAGGGGGAGCTGTGGGCCTAGACCCCTGAGACCCACCGTCCTGATCCCTGGCCTACGCTTCCAGGCCTCAAGAAGGGGACATGCGACCCCAGGACCCATCCTATTCCCGGTGCCCAGCAGCAGTCCTGGTGCTGTCTCCCTCCACCCAGCCCCCGCACCAGGTCCTGGTGCCCCGTCCAGTTCCGTGGGCCCCACACTCAGTCCTGGGACAGAGAGCGGGCAGCCTGACCCACCTTGCTTGATGTCGTTTCTGGAGCCACCTGGTTGGGAGGGGAGGGGAGCCAGACAACGGATTCGGTTGACTTCGGGCCCTGGCACCAGGCCCAGAGCCCGGCCCTCCTCCCCACCGCCTCCGGCCTGCGGTTCCCCCATCTCTCC